GGGGGAGGGCGAGGGGGGAGATAGATATAAAAAAAATTAACTTGGTCCTCTAAAAAAATTATCTAGGCATTCACGTAATTAGAACAATACTTGTTTACACTTTAGAACTTTAGGTATCAGTGTTTAATTGGAAATTTTATTTTAAGCCAGCCCACAAGCCACAACCTTCACTCAAGTGTCACACTGGTATCACTCAAGCTTCCTTAACATACAAGGCAGTCTCAGAAAGCAGTGTAAGAGGAATCTTCACAAAAATACTTAAAACTTAACTTTATTTGTGCTTTTAAGATTAACGTAGCGTTCAGGGATTCCAACTGTAAGAAAGCAATTGAGATAAACTACAATATAGGGAGTCTAAATCCACTAACAATCTCTCAATTTAAACTAAAAGTTCTTCAGATACCTAACCTGAGACACCAAATGTATAAAAAACAATCCAGTGTGTACTCAGGGAACATTTCTGCATTTTACATGTAATTACAGATTAAAAGAGAATCAAATTAGCGAGCAGGAACTGGAACCCAACTACCTACTTTCCTGCTCAGTGCCTTCACTACGAATCTATAGTCAATCTCCTGCTTGCTCTCTTTCTGGCCATGTGATTTGGCACAGCTGGCTGCACAAGAATTCAGCTTCATCAGGAAGACGGAGTGGTGCCCCAGTTGGAACATTATGTAGCTTTGCAGTTCTCACACATGGCTGGGAAGGTGGAGATGTTGGTTTGAACCACTCAAGGAGGGAACTTGCAATCAGGTCTCTCACTTCCTGGATGACTTCCTGATTAGAGATCAGCAGACTATTATGCAAAATGTGAGTATTTGCAAAACATGCAAAATCTCTTCTTCCTAGAGAGTAATTCCTGCTCTGTGACAAAGCTGTCCTCAGGAAAGGCCTATGCATGCTGAATCCCAAATGCACCAAGATGCTTACTGTGCAATCGTAAAATTAAACGCTGATGCTCCAATGTTCTTGAATACTGGCAGAAATCTGTATCTTTTGGCTAGCTATAGGTGACTCCCTTCTCAGTCCGTGCGCTTTCTGAGCTTCCCTTTGAAGGAATGTTAACCTATCACTTGAAAAGGCATTTTTTTTAGGCACCATAACTCTGCTTTATGCCAGACTCCAAGGCTTACGCTCTTAAGTGTACATAAGTAAGTTTACTGGTGGCTTAAAAGTAATGAGAAAGGACAACTAAACTTTCAGTACACACTTCTAAACTGTATCATTTTTCAGGTGGATTCTAACATCAGATCAAAATTCTAATTTTTCCTTCAGTCTGAGAAGAAGCCTCAGTATCTAAGCAGAAACACTAATAACTCTTAGGCTACTCTACTAAGAAAAATGGAAAGACAGGGAACACAATATCCAGGATATATTATTTTTCATCTTCTCTGTTTCCTCAAACAGGTGTTCACTGTTAACGTGGTTTTTTGGGTCCCCACGCTATTTAATATGGAAGTCTGCTTATTAATAATTTGATTTTTTATGTACTTTTGTATCAAGTAAAGGAGTCCAATAATCTATATCTCTTATATCATAGGTTTCTTTATGTCCTGTTTGTGAAAATTATTTGGCCAGCACAAAATGTCCTTGTGATTCAGAATCAGCAAGAGACTTTCAGTGCAGCAATGCAAAAGTGTATAAACATCTATTTCCTTACATGTAAAACAGATGATACTACTTATAACTTCATAAATGTGCTGTGAAGAAGCTTAATTTATGCTTTGCAAATACTCAACACTACTCCTGCAAGCTGCAGCTTTTACCAGTGCTGTTAGCTACCTTAATTACTTCCAAAAAGTATTTCTAAAAACCTTTTGCAGGAAGCCACTGTATCATTGAAAAAATGTTCTACATGGCTTCCCACATTTCAGCAGGCAAATGTGAATACATTACCAATTCTTAGGGAACTACTGAAACTACTGCCTCTTTCTTTTTTCAAAGGCTACAGATACAAAAGTATCCAAATGTAATTGTTTTATAAAATGGGGAAGCTTTCTAAAAGTTCTGATACAATGCAAAGTATAGCCTCCATTTTCACCTGAAACTTTTGCTATCCAGAAATGCATGGCAATATGTGTATTACTATGAACCCTTATTCAACTGCGAACCAGTTTAAACTTAGAAAGATGCTCAGATAACAACTGTGTAACGAACTCCTATCTCTTGCCCTATGTAAGGATACTGTCAAGAAAGAAAAAAGAATACAGAAAAATTACTGCAGTAATTTTGAAAGGCCTCTTACCATCCCTCAAAACTTACTGAAAAATATTTAACGCCAACAGGATCCTGAAGAAGACGCTCAAATGAAACAGCCCAGCTTGCAACTCTTCTTTCTCGAAGACGTCGGCAGCTCTGTACACTGGGAAGACTAGCATTGCTACTGAGGCTATTTTCACTGATGCAGTCTTTTAATTCAGTACTATTCAGCTCTGTTAAAAAAAAGAACAAATTTGTCAATAAAATATCATTCACTTTTACTCTTCAGCATTGTTGAGTTTATTTATCACACCTCCTGCTCAAGCTGAAAGTAGTGCTGACTTCAAAATATCCCTTCCCATTTTTATTAGGAGCACCTGCATAGATAAAGCAACCCCAACCATCTCTCATTTTTCTTCTGTTCAACTGCAAAGAAAATTAAATGAGTGTCTTAACAGCTATCCCCTGCCAGAAGCAAAAGGGGTAGGCACAAAAGGCAATCTCTTTTCTTGCATCACAAAATAAATATTTTTGACAAAATTTTCTGCTCACATTCCTCACTTCATGGACTGCAATCCTTCATAAGATTATCCAAGGAACATAGACCTTTAACAACCCACCGTTCACCAGAAAGTGGGGAAAAAAGCCTATTAGGTGATAGGAGATAGCAAAATCTCACACAGCCTTAAATCAGCAGACAGGGACTACGTGAAGTTTTTCATGGAAATGAGAGATTCCCGTTAAATGCTGAAAATTTAGGAAACAAGTCAAATGAGGAAAACACCACCAACGAAAATGAGGTAGTAATGGATGCCTTCCTCATCGATGGAAAGTAGAGGTATCAAACCATAGGTCCTAAATTTATCAGGGTTTCTGACAAAAACAGGGATCCGTGACTCCCTTCCAGACTCGAGCCAACATGGTGCATTAATCTGGGGACCCCAAGTTGAGAAATGATCAGATTCTTTAGATCTCAGAAAAACAGAAATTTCTTTTGTATTCTGAAAGACAAATTAACAAGAACCCAAAGAGAATTCAGGAAAAAGCAACCTTGCGTAGCAGCATGACTGTAATAATTTCAAGTATTGACCCAGATCATCTTTGTCACATATCAGTAAATAGAGCATGAACAATAAATTCTTAAAGAAGTGACCACTTGTTCACAGAAGTGTAAAGGTGAAAGAAATGGCTGCTCTAAGTAAAAGAGGGAACTGTATACAACAGGGTACTATTCACAAACCTGTCATTTAGTTGTTGTATGCCCTTTTACAAATCACCACTCTCTTCATCTGTTTACACAAATGTAAAATTGGTATAGTAGTAGTGCTCACAGATACCCACTTCAGAGAGGTGATCTGAGGTTTAATTAGTTGTGAAGACACAACTGAATAAAGCCCTGACCTATGGGGTCTGATCTCATAATTGCACTACAGAGATGCCAAACTGAATGACTCTGTGATGAAGTGATCAAAAAAAGCAGACATTCAATTCTTTGAAAAATTAGATGTGGGAAAATGTGGGAAAATAATATCCTCAAATGAAATAGATGATATCTTCAATAATTCTATGCCAAATGGAAAAGCAGATATACAGCTGATTATAAATGTAAACTGATTGAGAAAACTGAATTCACAACTAGTAAGAAATGGCCTATTCTTCATAGAGACATTTTTATTGTTGTTTACTTTGCTCAGTTAATCACCTGGACTAATAAAGCAAGGATTAATTTCACCTGTATTACTACTTTATAAGATCTCCCACGTTCTCCTTTTCTGTTACATATATTTCAAAGCACTTTGCATTTCCAAATTCTATGTTACAAAACATTACTGTTCCTCCCTGGAAGTATGAACTCTGAAAAAAAGGACCATTCAAAGGTAGTTATGAACATAGGAAAAAGTTATAAAGATAGTTATAAAGATAAGAAAAATCAAAGAAAAAAATAGTTCTGAAACTTCATTTTTAAATGCATTCTGTAGCTTATATTTACTAAGATGTAACAGTTAACTACAGCAAATTTCTGTAAGCAAAGCTATTGTTTAAGACAAAAATAAGACAAAATAAGACAAAGATAGACAATTAGATTAGGGACAAACGAAAATGTAACTTTATATTTTCAACAAGGATAACACATAAGGACTATAACAACACATCAGGTATACAAGTATTTTTCTTTACCTAATTGTCATATTAATCAAAGCTAATTAAAAACACTCAGCAAATAATGCCAAATTTTTTAATAAGAAATATTTATTCACTTTTTCCTGTAAGACATATGAAAGCACATAACCAAGTCAACTGTTAGCTTCATTAGAGAATACCTGTCACCACAGTGAAACTATTGTGAAAGAAGCTAATGTGAATCTGAAGAGAACTGTATCTAAATTTATTACCTGAATTATTTTGCTTTAACTCTGCAGGTGGATAAGTTTTATTTTACAGTCCAGGATATAAATAGACACCCACTTCTTGATATATCTGGAACATTTTCAGATACTGCCTCACTCCTAAAGGGTTCAATCCCCAGTGTTCTCCAGTGATGAATGATGAAAATTTCCTAGTTCCTTTCAGGCAAAGTCAGAAAGGTAAACTCATCCCACATACCAAACCATTTAAACCTATTTGGCTGACAGAGGGAAATTAGGGAGTAGCCACACAAAGTGCTCAACTCTAAATCCACAAGTCACAGCGCCTTAGGACTCAGAAGGGATTGCAAAATGGTAGGCACAGCAGTCATTAGCAGGTCAGCTTCGCCCTCCTCCCTCCAAGTGACGGCTGCTCAACTTCCCTATGGCAGGCAGGAAGACCAAACTGCAATTACAGTCTCTGAGTGTTTACACCAGTGGGTGACTGCTAACTACCTTTAATTGCTAGCAGCTGCTCGCTCTCTCCAGCTTGTCAGAGTTACATTTGCTCTAAACTACACTGGGTTCTCATTCCTCTGATATGCTGCTGACTCTGGAGGTCCCATGAAAACAAATGAACCAAAATAAGATTGCCTTTTCAACAACTTTGAGAGCTATTGGCCCAGGTCCTCCGAAGTTTTATAGCAGCATTAAGGGATTACTCATTCTCAGTAAGCTGTCTCTGTTCTGGTGGATTTTATGTAGCTAATTCAGAATTTTTCAGAAAGAACTATTTGAATTCATACTTAACCCTGACACTCCTTTGTTTTCCCTTAAAACAAAAACGCAGTCAGTTTGCTTTTAAAATCTGTACAGATTTCTGCTGGGGTACCTGCCAATCTGAAAACAACACAGAACAAGGTTGTTTCCCAGAAAAGGCTTGGTTATTCTAGTTTCTTTTACCACATATATCAACAGTTGCAATTAAAACAGTTACAACCTAGTGCAGGTAGGTTTAGAATCAGAGAAAAAGAAAGGTCAGATGGGAAGAAAAAAAAAAAACCACCAACTATAACACTAGTACACAATTTATCCAAATCACGCTTAAATGAAGACTGTATAAGCCATAACTCCTGCTCCACTCCCCTTGCAGAGGAATGTTTCCAATGTAAGAGTTCAGTGTCAGGTTTCCTGACTCTCACAACTCGCACATTCCTAGATACGCACAGCCCACCTTGGAAAGCAGGAAAACTTTCCAACCGAGTCACATATTTCGTCTAATAATCACTGTGATGATCATTAAAGGAAACGTAGAGCCCTGAATCCCACCCTCAAACATTCTAACCGCAAGGCCGTTGTGCAAAGTGGCCTCCTCCTTCTTCTTAAGTGTTTAAGAAAAGAAGATTAGCTCTTAGGAATCTCAGGATGCCAAAGGAGTTTACTGTGAAAACCCCAACTCAGGTGCACAGAAGACTCAGCAGTGTTGTGAAGTCTCCTAATGCCTACCTTCTTTTTTCCTTACTGTGTGGAAGCACTGACTCATCTTGCTTTACCTGTAAAAGGAGGCTCCTTACTCAAGCATCCCGAATCCTGGGGACCTACATTTATTTCTGTTATATTCAAGAACCACCGTACCTAGCGAGGAAGCACCACTTTCTGTGCAAACTCATTCAGCTTCATTTATTACATTCTTCAAATAGAGAATTGACACAGAACGCTTTCTAAAAATCCGCAGAAAAACAATCTTTTACACCTTTTGTGTTTACACATTCTGTGGAGGTTCTTGGTTTTGTTGTACAAAACCAGCATTATGTAAGAAAATGCAGGCATTTAATCAGCTAAAATCTTGAAAGTATACAGGATAAGATAGCTTTGAAAGTTTTGATTTAAATAATATGAAGCAGTAAGTCTGAATACAATTAATTAAGGATGGTTTTGTATGCATTTGTTCATAAAATCTGTATGTATTTTTTGACCTAAGAATACTTTTTATCATTGTGAGAAGCTACACGTATTCCTTGTAATCATCAAAATGCATAAATTCATATAATTAAGATATTCCAGTCAATCACTAGGTACATTACCTGGATGAAGCTGGTAAGAACCACTGTGGTGCCACTTAATCAAATACTTCAAGCCATTCACTGAAAGCCATCCTTCTGAATCCATACCAAGTTCAGCTGCAACGTCCCGGAACCCATTGGGTGCAGGTTAGTCCTACTGTACGGCACATTGTACCGCTGCAACTTTGGGATAAGGGAAGCTAAAGGATTTCCCCCAAAAAATTCCTGGTAGCCTCCAACACCATTCTAAACAAATTGATTCTTTACCCTCATGGCTTCAAGCAGAGGAAAGCAATAGTATACTTAACACAAAGCATTATAAAATGCTACATAAATAATTTAAAGAAAAGACCTTTTGCCACTGCTGCTAAAGGAACTTGAATTATTTATGTTACAGTGGAACACAGCTACAGCAAGCATGCACTGCCAACGTAACTGACAAATAAGTCATACACCTGTTAGAGGAAACAATCCATCTGTATTTATACTGTAAAAAGTGTAAACAGTGTTTCGTTTTATTTTGGACTTCATTGCAGATTTTTTGCTCTACCTTCCTTAGTTACTTTTTAAAATACAGTTTTACATTATTTATTATTGCAAACATCAGATTCCTTTCAAAAAAGTCTGTAAGAATGCTTTTCCTTATGAAAATTCTTTCCAGGTGATGAACACTAAGCCCAAAAATCAGCAGAAACTGCAGCACAGTAGTATCTTAGGAAAAAGACGCATATAGTATGTGTTACGCCTAAGTATTTGGAAATAATAGACTTCAGCTTTGTGGAACTGATCTCTGTAGGAATAGCAGGTAAGAACTGACTTAGACATTCTCAATAGCTCAGATACCTCACCACCTGTCTGTCTGAGAGACGAATGATGATGTACTTCTATTATATGTCCTTTGACCTTAAGGTTTTCCCTTTGTCAAGTGCTGTCTAGGTATCAATAGCCAAAGTCAGACATTAGCTGGAGACTATTGATCATCCCTGTGATGATTTACATGCCACAGTGCTCAGAACATCGGCAACAGCCTGCACGCTGTGTACGCACTCTTGCTATTCCCACAGTGCAGGAATGGAGAGTTTCCAAGATGGGAAGTAGGAGAAATCTGCTAATTACAGGTCGTTGTAGTAACAGAAAATAGTTTCTGCTATTCCTAGAGCATAGGTGCTACAGATTAATTGATCTATAGCAATGATCTTGCATCTAAGCATTATTACAGTTTGCACTGGGATTGTCTGCAATTCATTAAGCAAATCAATTACAGTTAATAGTTGCTACTGGTCAGCATCTTTGGAAACAACACTAATTCAAGTACTTATATCTTTTACATGTTACCTATCTTGCAAAGCCCAAGTGCACAGTTTTGACTGAAGAGAACATCCCAGCCTCGCACAAGCTAAGTTACCACGTAAAATAAATGCAACAAGGGGTAGATGTTTTCCAGTGCCTGGCTTTAATGTAATAAAAGCCATATGACATGAGGCTTCATTGACCTTGAAAAGAAAGTGTACAGAGAGCTGTCATGCCTCCTATTATACTGAAGGAATGTATATAAACACAAAATAATTACTTTTTATACATAAATTTCCCTTCCCAGACTAAAGCTTAACAACAGTATTTATAGTATCTAGTTATATGTACAAATACTAATATTAAGCTTTAGTCTAGGAAAGGAAGTATGCACTGCTATACTAATGATTACACGAGTGAAAATTTCTGTAATCTAGACATGCCCTAAAATGTGTAAAACTGTGCTTCTATTAATGAATTAGTGAGATTAGAGAAGACTGAAAAAATTTCAGTGCTGTGACACATTCAATAAAAGTGAGAGCCTGAAAATGTAATTCAGACATGAATCACAGCTTTTTACTCAATGCAGCTCTAAATGAAATGAATTAGGATTTTATTTCATTTCACTTTTTCTGGTTACAGTCTCTCTGGTTCTTATTTTTCCAATCCACTTTCTAGGTATTTAAGCATTGATTCAATATCACTCAGTATAGTTCAATTACTGCTTTTTACATAAATTATAGCCCCCCTCTTAAGTAGCATTTAACAATGAAGAGAGAGCCCATGTTAAATCTTAAGCACTAGCTGAAAAAGTAGGTCATAAAACTCAGTACATAAGTACATATAACTTATTGTCTGTTCTTTCACCTCTGCAACCTACATGGCCCTTAGATTCCATGACTTCACAAAACTGTATAGAATTAATTGTGAAAACACAATTACCTACGGAATTGGAATGAAATACAAAAGTCATATTGGAAGAACTGAAAATAAGTCAGATCTTTAAAAACAGTTTTCAGCTGGAAGCATAAGAAGCTTGAAATGACTATCATATGAGTACTATCACAGGGATCTCCAAGTTTGGATAGGCAACAGAAATAAAATAATTTTCATTAACATGGAAAAAGAACCCTCATGGAGACAAGATGCAAGTACATTCCATTTTAGCTAAAAAAAAATCCATCAAATTTTTGGCCCCTCAGCACCTGGAACTTAATTCAATTACATACACAAACAAAAAAAGTCTGTGCTTTGTCTTGATTTTTATATCAAACAGGTAACATCTGGGGGAAAAAATAAATCTTTTTCCCACAAAAACATAGGCTACATTTTAGAAATAGAAAGCAGAATAGACACAATTATTTTCTGTTTCCTTCTTTTGTCACTTTGCAGACAAGACAGATACAACATAGAGTCTATCTTCTCATCTAGACAGAAGTACTGTTATAGCAGTAGACTGTGTCAGCAGTAAAGAAGGAAAATACTTGACAAAGTCAGCCAGCCATTGGAAAGTGGCTCTGTCAAAAGGACCAAAACAGTAATGTTTCTCTCAGCTGTAGTTTTAGTTTTGCAAGGAATCAGAAATTAGGACACGATGGAGTTTTGTGAATAGTATTGCTAATTTTGCATTTACATTTCCATGTAATATAAAAAATTATCACTACCATTCAAAATATTTCTTCAATTTCACTGCACTAACTGGAGCAACAAAGTTTGTCCCCTTTTTATTTAATAAAATTGTCTTGTACTGTTGTCAAAGAATAGCAAACAATAGTATGTATTTGAGTGAATTTCTCTGCAGGATCAAGTGAACCAACTCCTGCCAAGCAAGACAAGTGAGAAAAGTCACCCTAAACTACACAAATTCCTTTATTCCATTAAGGAAGCATACTTAAACTGTTTCAATTAACTTCAAAGGTTCAGAGAAATAATCTTCTAACGTTTAACAAAGAGCGGACGTCCTTTAAAACATTAAAGCCACATTAAAATCAACACAAACAAGCTTAGGTGACATAAAGAGGAGTTTACTTAGAAGCACTCCAGAACTGCAAAAGCTCCACAGCGGGATTTTACAAATATCAAATTACTTACCCCCTTTTCAAAATGCATCACACTGTAAAGAAATTTCAACCTCAACAAAGGCACCAATACAGTTTACAACTTAGGAGCTAGAGCATATCTCTTCAAAAGCAAACAGGGTATGTAAAGGACAATAAAACAGAGAACAAGATTTTATCTACCATCCAATTATATGAAAGTCTACCAGCTCTGCCTCTTTATTATGAATGAAGCAGCCTAGTTATAATAAAAACGTGCATATATAGATGTGCCACAAAAAAATTATGCAAATGAATCAGTGACAGTATGTGAACATAATCCTGCAATATTTTCATTGGCATAGTTCCCAAAGAAGTCACAGAGTTCTGCACCACTTTGGGCTCACATCTTATAATATATCACCTTATTTACCACATATTATGTTGTTTAATATAGAAAATTGATTCTTTTTCATCATAAAAGTGAAAACAAGCTTCAGCTTACCTCCATCAGAAACAGTTGCTGACTGCAACAAGAAAGAGAAAAATAAGTGTTACTTAAGTTTCATGGTAAGTATTAAAAATAATATTTGAAATGTTAGCTACTTTTATCATCTTATTAACAACAGATAACATGAGAGAGGAAAACCTAAAGAAACCAGCTTTCTCACAGGTGTTTCTCCCCGCCATGAAATTCACCCCAGGCCTTTTAACCACTCTCCTGGAACTTGATCCCACTAGTATTTACTGGACAAAGTACTTCCTGCTGTGAGTAGCTACACTGCTTCCAACGGTCCTTCTTAGATGAAGAGTCAATCGGTTGGTATATGTAAGAAAGCAAATACCTTAAAATTGACCTGCAAAGACTTAAAATGAAAACAACACCTCATATACTTTATTCTGCTGCAGTATCTGGAGATATGTGGAATCAAAATTAAAATTTTGTCAGTCAGATGACCCTGAAAACTTCCCCTGCTGATGACTTCCGACTTCCACAGAGCCAAAAGGATGTTACGAGCATTTCCAATAAGCTAGGTAAGAACTCCTCACCATCTCTGTTAGTGTTTTACATCAAATTTTCAAGGACAATTAGTCTTCTAGTGAAATGTTGAAGTTTATGTGCTTATCTTCCCTAAACTTCTCACCTTTGATCACAAATTACTTCAAGGCAGCTAACATTTCTGTAAAACCAAGTAGGTGACCATTTCCCAAACATGTACTCCAGTGCTTCAGTGCTTGCACCTTAACACTCAGCTGAGTGAAAGACTGGAAGGACAGCTGATTTTTAGATTTAAGTTTGTATTGATTTTTAATGGCTATTAAAAATCATTATTATTATTTTAGTTTGGGGAATCTTTTTTTGGTCATTTAAAGTGTCCTTGAACCTTTAAGTAACTTTCTAAATAGCTAAAAAGAAACTCTCTTATTTTGTACTGCTCTTTAAAAAGCTAGGAAAGAATGCCCTATAATATCTACAATTTCTTCAAGATGGAAAACACAGAGAAGAAAAAAACATACATACATATATATATATATATAACTCAAGAGAAAAGTTATCTATATATAACTCAAGAGAAAAGTTATCTCTCCATAGTTTGTCTGTATTTTCCAGCCTTGGCAACAATCATTCCCTCTCCCCTTCAAAATCCACAAAAACTTTTAGTAATCCTTAAAAGAATAATATCTTCTCCCTTCCTTCTCTTTTCTTCTCTATTTCACTGCAGGATCTCATACTGCTGTTAACACTATCTAAAGAACATTACTTGTTACAAACTGCCGTGGCCTCACTATTCACATCAGCAGCAGAGGATCTGATCTAGTTTTTAATACAAGTATTCTGGAACTTTCAAAATCTAAACCAGTCCCTATTGACATCACTCCTCTGGTGCTAGTTCAGATAAATACAAATACATCTTTCATGGAAAAGATCAAAAAAATGATGGCACTTCTTGTTTAACTACCCAAAAATAAATGCTTCTGAATCTGTGAAGCGTAATAATATAATCAAAAGTGTATCCAGGCCTCTCACTTTTTTTAATAGCACTGTTTCAGGTATCAAAAAAGTATTTCTGTTTTGGGTATAGTTCTTCAGTGAGGCTTAGGACATCTTTTCTACTTCTATTTTGCACGTAAGTCTAGCAAGCATATTATGCATTCAGAAGCCGTAACTTAATTCATGTTTGCAATTTAGAAAATTTAATTTACATTACTGAAATCTGTTTTATAAATCTGATTGCTTCTAATTTCTTATTCACATACTGTACAGAACAGCTGATGAATAAACAATTTCAACATCATTTCTCAAAGAATAAAGAAAAGGATGACTCAAAGTAAAGTAATAGTAACAGTTTACACATTAGACAGAAAAAAATAACAATACTTTCAATGGTCATTTACTTTGGCAGCTTGCATGAATCTAGATTCAAACACAAAGTACAATTCTCCTTCATGTTTTTGAAAGGTATCAAGTAAAATGAATAGGATTCTCATGATAGTAAAAAGAATATTTACAATACTTTTTTCAAAAACTGGGAAGTTAACAATTGTAAAATATCATTTTAAAGGAAAAATGGTGTGATTTCATAGAAAAACTCAAACATTACAGTAATAGTACCACTTAATTAAGTTCTATGGATAATGAGATACAGTTTTACCTCAATCCATTTAGCATAAGTTAATGCAGTGAGCTTTCTACACACCATAGTTTGGTTTTGTGGGTTTATTTTAAATGCTTTGCTTAATGCATGTTACATTACATGTATCAATATCTCAAAATCTCTCCAAGCAAGGCCTTAGTAATTACTACGTTTAAACATTAAAAAAAAAAAAGTACCCAGACAGAATTTCTTATCTAAATATCAACCACCTATTTCTGTGCTATTAAAACATTTCAAATTTCTCTTTGGTTTTGATATATTCCAACTATATGGTTTTTTTTTTTTACATTACAGTGTCACTAAAACTACCCAGCATGTTCCAAGCATTATCCATTTACTTCTGTAGATCACAGAATAAAATTTCTTTCTAAAGAACAATTTCTTTAAATTCATCTATGTAACTGAACTAAATCCACTTAATTCAACAAAACCAGCTAGAAACTAAAGCTTGTAATTATTGTGTAAGAATTCACAATAATATGTTCAAAACATGTTAGTGAGTACTTCGAAATCTTAATATAAACCTGTCAGAAATTGCATGCAGTCCACATTTAGACAAAGCAGTTTCTCTTCTAAACTGTTCAGCTGAAACTTGTCTAGATTTGTCCAAAGGTATAAGTTGCAAGACCAGATTTTTTTAAACACTATGATGATCTCATTTTAAAAATTCACTATATGTTGGGGGCTGTTTTTCACTCTTCAGCGCTCATGCTTACCACCACTGGAGGCTCTTCAGGACAAAATTTGATCTACTATACATACAAAGTTTGATTATTTGATGAAATTTAACGCTTACCACATATGTATTAAGAACTACCTATTAAAAAAACGTATGTATTTAAAAGCTATAAAATTGAACAGTTCCTGTATGTGGCCATTTCTGAAAGATGAAGAAGGATAGGGTATGACCCATGCCAGTTAGGGCTAATGTGAAGATTAAAAAAACCAAGTATTTAAGTATTTCATTCCAAATGACAGGACATATACATATTCATTTTGAGAATGTACATATGAACTATCACCCAGAGATAAAATCTAACTGCATTCAACCCTCAAATCTTTCACAACCAGATAAGAACTGAAATTAGTTCTTCAAATTACCCTGACTTCCAAATCAGTCTAGGAAAAAGCCCATGGTATACGCCAGGAGTCTGATGGTAACAAATTACCAAAATTTAAAAAATAAATCTAGTTTAGGAAAACTAAAATGTCTTCCAGTATATCTCTTCATGGGAACTCTGCTTGCTCATCTAGCTGGATTAGCAGCTGAAGTATACAGACACACACACACACACACACTGCAAAGGTCCCTACACTTCAGGGCAAGATCTTGATCCCTGTGATCCAAGTGGGGAGGAGCTCAGTGCCAGGGCCAGAAAGCTGAACAGTGGCTTCCAAGTTATCATACACCATAAAAGATGTTCTAGGTCTCTGTAAACTGGCAAATGCTTCAGCATATATTAGATAGCATAAAGTTCTGATTAAGAGAAAACATGTAAAATTTCTCTTTGTATCATCTCTCTTTGCTGTGTGGAAAAACCAGAAAGGCCCATGAGTTTTTTGATGTTGTGTTCAGGATCAGCTTGCAACATATCTAAAAGACTATTAGCTTACAACAATTAACAGGGAGAAAACTACTTTGCAAGTACATAATTTTTTTTCCAGAAGAGAAATAGACAACATAGTATCTTGCACCAACAACAAGGTAAAAAGGGACAGAGGGCATAAAGGAGAATAATTCATAAGGTTGAAACAGCCTGTATCTTTTAGCTTTCGTGGTCTATAACCTGCTAGATGTGTGCACCACTGCATGAAACTAGTCTGATGACATCTTTCAGTTGACAGAAACTCTTATCCAGAAAATCCACTCAGTTCCATTTTACATGGATCAGGTCCCAGGAAACTAAGTACTATCAAAGTCTGCCATAACACCATGATGCAGAAAACCCCAAAATACCCCACCCATATCCCAGACATTACACTCAGCAAATAAATCCATGCGTACAGACTACCCAGATAACACAATACAAAAATGTCCTTTTTCTCCACTTGAAGATTTGTCATTCAAGTCAAAGTCATGCTCAAGTACTTGAGTAGAACAAAGGGAAAGATGGGGATACCAGGAGGGGTGACACATACTAGGAAATGCCAGGCCTTAGCAATAAAACAGAGCAAATGAAATCATCTGTGGTAATAGAGTGTGGGTGAGTGCCTTCCTGAGTCAAAAAAGACATATCTATTTCCAACTCCTTCTGAGATGTGGAGGGATAAAAATCTGTAAGGAGAGTGAAGACGTATTCCTCCCTCCTACCCTAACAATGACAAAATCACAGACTAAACAGAGACATCTCTTTCTTTCCTGGGCATCCAGGAAGATTCAGAGAAAAAAGGATTAAAAATAACCTCTCTATGTGTCCTTTCTAAAGTACACTTTCTTCCAATACAGGCATCGACTTTTTGCTGCATCCAAAGAATGCTGCATCTGACTGCTGCCTTCAGAATCTGTTAGACTCACCTAGTACAATATTATACTACACACTATTTTACAAAAGCCCCTCTAATTAAGCCTTTCATCTTGGAATAGCATAGCTTGCTCCACCAACCTTCTAAACTGATTTTCTCGTATGATTTCAATATACAAAATAAGTTTGGGAAACTTGTCGTGTTCTTTAAGAGATGAAGCACTGAAGATTTACAGGCTGAATAGAAATAGCCAACTTTCAAACATTCTGTCACTTAGCTCAGGGAAAGCCTATCACTCAGTCAACTGTCTGCTTGCACCTAGCTTTGTTCAAACTCCTTATTAAATCACCTGAAGCAACTTCTCCTTCTGCCATGGTATGAATTATGAGCGGGTCCCTAGATCTTCA